CCACGACCAGTTTCAAGTCCCAGTGGGCCAGATGGTGTGCACAATAATCAAAACAGCGGACCGTACAGTCGACCTACTTCAAGTCCTGGTGGACCCGATGGTGTGCCCGCCAATCAACACAATGGACTATACAAACGACCTGCTTCAAGTGACCAATCACACCAAAGTGGCGAGTTAGTGATAAGGTCTGTGCAGATTAAGTATTCTATTATTAATGGAGAGCTATTTTTAGAATGCAGACCAATATTAAACTTGGCCGGTCTGAAAAAACATTTAGATAAAAAGGGATTTGTTTACGTGGACAAGAAATTAGCCAATAGTGGGTTTTTGCGAGAAGAGCCTTTTGTGCTTTATCCAAATTCAAAGAAGTGGAAGTTTATAAGTTATAATGCTTTACTTGAAATTCTGAACAGTAAAAATCAAAGAGAGAGTTTACAACTTTAAAAAAAGATCTCAAAGATATATTTCTACAGGGCTTTTTGAAAAGGAGTGCTGTATACAATGACAGTAAAACACTTGGTCCAGGAAAGAAATACATGAGGAAGGAAACCACAAAGCAGAAATTAAGACAGTGCTGCACCAATGAAAACAAAGATAAGATGCTGGAAGCAATGACTACTTTAATTCAGCCAGTTAAGAGAAAGGGCTGTTTAGACATAGACGACATCAAAACCTTGCTATCCTCAGCAAAATCGTCAAAAAAAAGAAATGCATGCAATATGCTCCAAGAAATACAGGGTATTCCTCTTTCGGTTGAAGATGTGATCCATTTTGAAGAAAATCTTTCAGGTACCAGGTTAGTGGAAGCTTTAAGAAAGAACAAAAGAAAGAGCTCAAAAGGCAATTTATTTTTCAGAATTCAAATCAATTTTATTGCCTACAAGAACGTTTTCTGGATGGAAGATAGACCCATCTAGGCTGCATGAAGTTAACACGTTTCTTTATTATTGGCTAGATAACAAAATAAGTTGGAGAATTTATGGCGATGGTAGGGAGCTGGGTGGTCGTCCCAGTACATATGTAGCTTTAAGCATATTAAATAATGAGGCTGCATTATATGATAAATTATATCAAACACCTAAAGGTATCTTTCCCATATCTGTTTTTTATGAAACTGATTCCAGGCAAAACCTAGAGCTCAATTTGGGTTATAAATCTACTTCGTGGATAGATCATTTTGTTAGGAGTAAGCCACATCATGACTAGCAGGTGATGAAATGTTTCTCGAAAAAGTTTTAGATGATGGTGACAGTGATTTAGCCCCAAACTCTACTGATGGTTGGTGCATCTATAAAAAGAGGCACAAGGATACAAAGATAGATGTACACCCAAAGTTGAAAACTCGTCTAGGTTTGGATTTCAAAATTGAAAGGGAGCATCCGACCTCAATTGTTCCATTAATACCAACTTTGAAAACTGCAATTTGTCTCTTACATTGTGTGGCACGATCAGTTGAGAAGTTTCTGATTTCAACTGCGACTGCAGGTGTAGATTATGTGGTTCCGCGGAGAACCTCCAGCGCGAACACCTACTACAATGTGAGTGAGTTGTAGGGGATTTGGTCTCCTTTGACGCTTCGGCCCTTCTAAATTTGGAGAGAGCGTTAATTGCTACCCTGCCACTGGGTTGAGGAAAAAAAATATATAAATTTAAAAAAAATAATAATTGTCATCAGGTTGTTTTAGCTCTTTTCTTCCTGTGAAGAATGTATTCAATTTTTGAATAAAACATTACACAATAAAAAATATTCTTAAAACAAACTTTAGTCGAATTTCAAACAAGAACTTCATTTAGTGCTAGTTGAAACTTCAATTTCAAATGTATTCACAAACAACATAGTCAAAGTTTTAACTACGACTGAATCAAGTCCTAGATATAGTTCAACTGAAGATGACTGGCATAATTCATAATAGACCATCATTCACTTAATTAAATTTCTATAATAATAACTATATTAGTTGTTAACATATTACAATAAAGAAATTGAGCAGTCACCGAAAATTTGCTTTCTTTGGAGAACTATTATAGTTGAGCACGAGCGAGGGTGGCGCCATCTTTGTTGTTGTTATGGTGAAGACAGGTGATCGCAACGCGAGGTGATTTGAAAAGTTAAAAAGCAGGAGAAAAAAAAACGTGAACTAGCTGAAAAAGAGGCCAGGAAAGTAGAAAGAGAAAAGAAAAAGAGAATGAGGAATAGAAGATGTGCGCCGAGGCCATTGGCAAGAGTAGTTTTGAGAAGAAGGTATTGTTATTATTAACGTCATCTTCATTATCATAATCATCGTTATTTTTATATTTTATTATTGTGATTTTTACGATTATTATATTCTTTAAAGATATTATTATTATTATTATTATTATTATTATTATTACCTGCATCATTTATTTTGTTACAGGTAATATCGTCTATGGAGCCGACATTTCAGGTGGCATTATACAGTGACCGCTGCTATGCAAAACTTAAAGAACTTTTCCATATGTACCGTAATGGCTTAGTTAAAAATACCAAACCAGGGAAGCAATTGAAACAGTCGGTAAGTACATAAGCACTCAAGACTATTAATGCAATAGTGTAAATATTCCTGAGAAGCAAATGAGTCAGAAAACAAAATAGGTCTACAATCAAAATTTGATCTAGTGGAACCTATTAGTAGAAAAAGTATATATAATAACAAGAACTTTGTTTTTCAAATACAATTTACACATAAGTTCCATATTTAGTTTTTCATGAACCTGCAAGGTCTGTCAGATGTCGTTTCACTGTCTTAACATCTGTAACAGACGGTAATCGGACTATAAAAGAAGCCGAGCAGGATGCACGAAATACAAAACTACTAAAGGATATTAAAAGAAAATTCCTAAAGACCACAAAAATGCTAACTTGGGAGGAAGCAGAAGTACGATTTCCTCAACATACAACTGAAGCTGCTCTTCGCAAGTTTATAACACCAAGTAAGATTATGGGGTTTGTTGTTTTAATAACATGAGAGAGCAGATAGTGTAATTGTATCTCTTACATAATGTTTTTTTATATACTGTAATCGTTTTTAAGAGCTTTAAGTATAGTGACTAACTGCCCATCTTTGTGTCAGACTAATGGTTTTAAAGTAATTGGACTGGTATTTAATAGACAGAGATGATGTGAAAATAAACAATACTGTAGCAATAAAACACTTAAATGCTAAAATAATGTAACTATTTTTACAAGAATGTCTCATGAAAATTGCGTTATAGTTGTTAAAAAAAACATTTGGTAAACGCACTTGGATGCATGAATAATTATATACACAGTGGTCAGTGATATTTGGATTTTATTAAAGGTCATTGAAATGTTTTTATATAATACTACTGTATTACTAAGTAGATTCTTATCAATGTAACAAACTAATAAATTTTGTTACATTTTGCAATATTTTATACAATATGTAAAATCAAAATTATTTTTTTTAAATCAAAAGCAAGGTTTTTGATTAAATAATATTTTTATTGAATATTTTCTTGATAGGAATGTTGTCGAAAAACGAAATGCCGACAGGCTTGTTGAACCATTGCCACGATGCGCAACTATGGGAGCAACAGCAGCAATATGACAGCTCAGAACCCGCATCTACAGTAAATATTATGACTCAGCAAGGGCTACATTCCAAATGCCACGGAATGCCCAGTCCATCCAATGGACGAATAATTACAGATTTTGCAAATGCTTCAAATATGAGACTGAATCGCGGTCTGCTTGTGTTGACCAAGGTATGTGGATATATAGGCCTATTTTCTGTTCTCTAGAAATGTACAGATACTAGGAAACGTGTATGTAAGTTTAATGACAAAAGTACATATATACAGAGATACAAGAAAACAAGACTGAAAATGAAAATAAATTAGAACCAAACAATATTTCTAACTGTATTAAAAGAGAACTAGCAAACTGATTTTTAGTTCTAGAGGGGAATTTTGATATTCCATTAATAATATAATCAACCTTAAAATTGCTTTTTGGCAATTTCTTTTGGAGTTATAGGCCATTGAATACAATTTAATCCTGACGTCACTGGCGAAAAAGGTAACAAAAGATCGTGTAAATATAACATCGTAGGGTATCCGCCGCGTACGATCTTTGCGTGCATGCTGTAACCATAGCTGTAATTCTTCTGTTGACAACCACTGATGCAGTTATAGGCCTATGACTTGATATGCAAGTTACAACAACCATGGTTACAGCATGCACGCAAAGATCGCACGCAAAGATCGCACGCGGCAGATACCATACGCGGCGCTATTTACACGATCTTTTGTTACTTTTTTCGCCAGTGACGTCACAGTAAAATCGTATATAATGGCCTATAACTTAATAACCAATTAACAAAAAACGATTTTAAGGTTGGTTCTATTATTAATGGCATATCAAAAATCTCCTGTAGGACAAAAAATCATTTTGCTAGTTCTCTTTTAAAACAAAAAATAGATGTGCCGTACTAGTCTGATATGATAACAAATGAAACTCAAAAATCGTTTAGTACTTTGAAGACTACTTTTATTTTTGACAGTAAACTAGCTTTCGTGCACACAGTTCATCTGAAGAAGTGCACAAGCTGTTTATCGAAATACTCAAAACCTTCGCAATTCTATAGTTTATCAGGCTTAGAATCATTGAAAATTCTATCATTCCTATTAATATTCTAGCTACAATTGCTTAGCGAAATGGATCGATCAGAGACGTAAACAGGGTTACGCATGCGCGTTATCCAAGTAGGAAACTAACACCGAAGGCGCTCTATATTACATCATTTCTATTTCTTATGTATGCACTTTCAACTTCTTACTACTGCCAGATGATAACATAGTGTCTATTCCCCCCCCACCTGGGGGCATTAGACACTAAAATTGAACTTATTGAACGATGATACTTACGTTCTCAAGGAGAGAAGACAGCAGCAACTGCAGATGACTGCTGATTTATGACTTTAAAGGATCTAGAATGCTTACAATTAAATGATACTTACATTGATGCGGTGAAGTGAAAAACCAATTAGAGAAGCCAGCAAGAGGAATGAGGATAATCCAAGATGGAAACACATTAAACGGAGATGCATGGAAAGGTGGTGTCCTGGCTGGAAAACATTAAATAATAAATTGCAACTTAAAATAGACTAAAGAACATCTGTACATGAAAAGAAATAAAAAAAGTTATTTAAATACACAATGAATCATGTACAAACATGGGTGGGCATAATAATGTTCAATAATTTTTTATTCAACACTGAGGGCCACAGCTAGTTCTGATGTTTCCAGTGTGCTCCTTTATGCACAGTTGCTTAGATACCACTTTATGCTCAGTTTTAACATCTCTTATGGATGATTGGTGTTGGGCCGTACAAAATAAGTAATTTTCAAGCCGCATGTGGCCCGAGGGCCACACTTTGCCGACCTGTGATAACAATATGCAACTTTCATGTTCAATCCAATGTAAATATTCTTAAATTTAATCACTTGTAGTACCATAGAGGACAGTAGTAATCTAGTACGTTTCTGCATATTCCATTTTTTCTAGACTGAATTTGGAGCATTTTGGAGGGCCATACCGTAACTTTGAAAATAACAAAAAATGTCTAATTTTTATAAAACCCCAAATTCTTATAGATTTTTATGTGTCAATCTTCAATGTTGTTTTTAATATAATGGCAATTAAGTATGGTCCCTTGATATTTTGTGTCTCTAAAATGGAAAAATCAAACTATTTAACAACCTTTGAAAACGGCATCTCAAAAAAAATTATGTTCTCCAATTATACAGTAAATTTGAGAAAGTAGAAATAAATGTCTGATTCTATTATTAGTGAGCTTTCGATTCCCTACGGAGAGCTACCTGACCGTCACGAACGCCTCCCGTCCTGTTGTGAAAACATTTTCGATCATTCTACTCGCTGCACGACGGTGGCTCGTACACTAACCTTAAGTTGACGTCAAATGAAAACTTTTTTGCAAACTTTTTCTTAACCTAGCCTGGTATGCGATCTAAGGAACTGAGAATGCCGAATTTACGCGTACTCCGTGAAAACATTGAAAATGAGTATTTATATGGCTTTCTTGATGATGCAGAATTTATGTTTTTATATGACAAAATATGTCACTAATCCAGATTTCCAGTACAAAAACTATGCCCTATTTGATTTAAACGGATACAATGACGACGAGTGTAACAGTTATTTTAGGTAAGGAGAGGCTGCTTGCACAGAAAGCTGAAAGGCCTAGGCTTCGTCTGTCATGCATTACACGCAACTTAAACATTCCCTGGTTCCCAGTGCATCGCTTCCCATCATATTTTAGACCGAACGTTAAATCGAGAGAAGACCGTTCTGGATTTGAACGAGACGGAGAGTACTGAACTTACACACATGCGCAGATACATTTTTGTACCATTTTACCATCCTCTCCTGTCTACCGTCATGGATCGAAAGCTCGCTATTATTAAGCTAGGAGGGCAGTGTTGCATTCTGGCCTCAATACATAATCGAGTCTGCTTCCTTATCGGTTTTGCTGGTGTATGGCTTCAGTATGCAGGTAGTTTACTCACATTTGCTAGGCATCCAGATGGCATTTCGCTACTTCTACATTAACTTTCTACTGTATCTCACAGGTCCTCCGAATCGAGAGACATATACATGAACTGCATTTTGTTTTTAGTTGCGTGCCCTTAATCAGGCCCATGAGCTCTTTGTCTTGTCCGTAGGCCGAAATATGGCATTCTGAAATCCGAAATTATTCAAAATGTCACTTTTCGCGATTCGCGAGTGCGTAAAATGACTAAGTCCAGCAAATTTCAAACGGCCATATCTCAAAAACGACATGGAGTATGACTTTCAAATTTTGCATGTGTTCATATGAGCAACATATCATCATTCTGACCAAATTTCATTAAAATCTGAGGGGGTCACCTGGGGATTTGTTCTGAAACTGGTTGATTTGACATGGAATCACCCATATATTTGCCTGTGAACACCCTATAGGCTAATGTTTTCGGCGCCTACGATATTTCTTCTCACGACCTGTCGCAAAATCAAACATGAAAATTCATCCGCATTTATTTTTTGTGTGGAACACAAAAAATCAAATTTCAGTCTTATTTTACATTTTTTCCATTCTTAGGAATGTCTAAATTCAGTTAAACTAGCAATTCCGTATTATATTTATAAATCTTTATATAACATTATACAAAAATTATATTTTTTTTGAAAATTGAAATTTTGCCGGGAATGGGGCTTTAAGAACCTGTAGTCCGTTTTAAAAAATTCTTGCCATTTCGAGTTTCGCTCACCAAGCTGCATCATTTGGCTACAAAATAAAAACACATTTTTAAAATAGTGTGCTATAGGCCTACCTGCTAATAGGGCCCCCCCACCCCCACCTTGTGGTAGAGTAGCCATCATGGACCTCCACCTGATTTACACACACACACACATGACCCTAACCCCAGCCTAGGCTAGCCTCATTGCAACATACGGTATGATACCTACCTTCCTAGGCTAGGCCCAAAGTCGTTTATCATGGTGCTATAGCCTATAGGCATAGGCCCCCTACTAGGACTTGTGGATACACTAGAATGGGGAGATGGTCTCGCTTTTCAGCCACAGTGAATTCAAAACAGAGAGCGCTGCTGTGAAAAGAGGCCAAGACAATACACCTTAAAACCGCAGCCGTTGTATAGATAGGAAAACAGTACAGATGAGCACAGCTTAGTGGTATAGTGTGATGTCATGCAGCAAGCAAGTTTGGAATCATTCGCAACTTTGTGGTATTTCTTGCCCAACAAAATCAATGAAAACAGTTATAGCCTACACCGCGTCAGACGTTTAACTCAACTCACGTGTACAGCTGATAAATCACTGCCAAAACACGAGCAAGAGTACCCCCCGGTCAGTGTTTAAAAATTTACAAGTTACTTTTTCGCCAACAGATGGCGACAAACAGTTTTCAAAATTCCTTTAAAAAAGATAAAAATAAATATCGTAAAACCTTTTGGTTTTTAGGATGGGCTTCTTTTCAAGATGGACTTCTTTTTCTTTCGAGACTCAAATAGGCCAATTCATGACTCAGTCAAAATGATCAAATAGGTTATACCAACCTGAGATGGATAAACATTTTTTGCTGATTTAGAGATATTACCAAAACCCACTGATTACTAGCCAACTACTATGCAAATAAATACAAGAAAGTTAGGTTAGGTTATTTAGGCAGGTAACGTCAGTTAAATTTACTTCTTTTCACGTTCAAATTTAATTTAAAATGTAACTACCAAGTCAGAATTAAAAAATACAAATCAGGTAATTTAAAATAATGGAATTTATTTTTTTTTTTCAGCTTTAAAATGAACCATTTGATGGCAAGATGCTTATCGCAGGTTACTATACTAGTGTTAATTGGTTATTTACTATAATACCAACTCTTATTTTTATACCTCCTTTTCTAATAGTAATCAGTCACATTTTAGTGATAGGCCTATATCAATATTGACAAACGATTTGCTTCCGGTTGGTTAATAATCTATCCTTTACAATTATGCATACGCGTTGTTACAAAGGTAACATAACCCCAACGGGATGGAGACAAGTAAGCATAAACCGATGACTTTGAATTGCATGGAGTTATCTGTAGTGACATTGTACTAGAGGCTATAATGCTTAGTACATTCATCAAGGATAAGACAATCCACAGTACTTCATTATTGTCCGGATAGTATTGTATTTG